TGGCCACTCTCACATGGCAGTGAAATAAAGAATGGGGTTTGTTACGCCTTAACAGAGTGGTCAAAGCAGCCAGGCGGGGTGGTGCACAATGGTAATCCCGGCAGCTTGGGAGGCCGGGGGAGGAGGATCTCAAGTTCAAGGCCAGCCTCAACAACTTAGCAAGGCCCGAAACAACTTAGCGAGACCCTGTCTCCAAATATAATATCAAAAAGGGCTGAGAATGTGACTCAGCATTTGAGCACCCCTGGGTTCAATTCCTAACACCAAATAAATAAATAGATAGATAGATAGATAGATAGATAGATAGATAGAGATAAATCAGGGAGGTCATCTTACATTGGGCACATATTTCGCTTTCTTTCCTTCACTGAGCTGTTAATCTAGGTGTTTCTCTTCATTGTTTTATTTCAAGGAAGGCAGAAGTAATTTTCTACATGCATGTATTTGGATACGTTGGGGGTCCCAGAAAACTTGAATTGTCCCTTCCTTCTTTTTTTCCTTCCCCTCTCCTTTTAAAAATAAATAAAACATACCAATCACCTTCGAGTAGCACACAGAATACTGGAGAGACAACCCCTGGTGGCCTGACAGCGTGACACTGGCACAGGAGAGGCCTGAGGTGAATGAGTGCTGGCACAAAGGAGCAGCAGTGCTGCTGGAAGCCAGGAAATGCCTCACCAGGGATGTGACCGGCAGCTGTGGCCTTGGGGGAGGCTCCAGTTAGAGGGGGTTCTCAGGCAGAGGAGTGAGCACATAAGGAGGTCCTGAGAGAATGGACACCAGGGGCACGCACAAGCAGTGGACCTCTGGGAGCTTCAGAGATGGGCCTGGTGGAAGAGTCTCCTGGTAAGAAGATCCCGAAAGCATCTCCCGGGCCGTGCCTTTCAAAACCTGAGCTGTGTGTCCTTAGCTAGTCGACATTCGTGACGTGCTTTAGAAGATGACTTGGCATTAAAGCTGAGGGCAGATTAGACAAGGAAGGAGGAGAGGGGCCCACCACTCTTTCTGGGGAGAGAGATGGATTTAACAGACACTTCAGAGGAGGAAGCAACGCTTTAACAATGAAACAGGGAGAAATGAATCAGGGGTAAGAATTGAGTTGTTTGAATATGTGCTCATTAGTCTTGGGAGGGAGATGCCCAGGAGAGAGGCCGAGCTGTAGATCTGCAGCTCTGAGAAGGAGGAAATCGGAGGATAGGGATGCAGGGATCAACTGGGAGCAGATGGCATTGAAAACCCAGAGTGCTTTCACCAGAATGTCAGAGTGGGCGGATCGTCACTAAGGGTCAACTTACATTAAGGACGCCCACGTGGGGTTGGATGGATTTCTTGACGTCAGGAACCCATGGAACTCTAAGAGATGTTTTAAGAGGTCTGGGAAATCACTGAAACTTTAAGCAAAACTTTCTTCAAATGCAGTTTCTCGTTGGGATAGAGATGACAGCTTTTACTAGCTTCTCAGAGGGATTTGGACCAGAAAAGGGTTAAGACCCATTGTGTTTCAGTAAGTATTTTGTTATGTCCTGTCCTACTTAGAATTTCAACTGAATTAAAGAGGATTGGTTCAGTCTCCAAAATAAGCTTGGAATGATTTTGGTCTCATCTGATTGTTTTGAGAAACCAGTCCAGATTTACCGGTGTTCCTGATGTAGAATTCATGATTTTGTTAGAATGGCCTGTGTTCCTCTTCTGTTTTGAATAAATCATCACCAAAGAATCCTTGATATTAAACCAATGTTTGATCATGTAATAAAAGTAATGAATTGAAGTTTGTCGACATAGTTAAAAACAATTTTAACTTTCGTCATTGTGAATGAGATACATATTCCAGGAATTCCTAAAATTTACCGTCCCTTTTGATTACTCTCCCCACCACCATGAGTGCCTACTGTCTCTGGCTTTGCTTCATGTTTGTAATTTGATCCAAGTTTCTTAATTGACCGTCATAGCACATAGAAAAGCCTTCTCCATAATAGCTTTCTCCATGTAAAAGAGCTCTCACCGAAAGATATACTCTTAATAGAATCTGAGTACAACAGAAAAATTGCCAATTCTTTTATGCATCAAAGGACACTGAAGACATGAAAAGGTGACCCATAGAATGGGAGAAAATGTCTGTAAATCACATATCTGAGAAGCACCCGATATTCCCAATATACAAAGAACTCTATAATCCAACTACAATGGGGAAAAGTAACCCGATTTAAAAGTCGGCAAAGGACTTGATAGATATTTCTCCAGACAAGGCTCACGTATGAATGGTAAGTACAGGAAAAGAGGCTCAGCACCTTTAGGCAACAGGAATAGATAGAGCCACAGTAAGACAAAAACCACTGTATACCCACAAGATCTGTGGGTATACAGATCAGAAAGTAAGTGTTGTCGAGGAGTTAGGAAATTGGTACATTACTGGTGGGAATGTAAAATGGTATGGCCACTGCGAAATACAGTTTGGTAGTTCCTCAAAAAGTTAGAGTTACCATATGATCCAGAAATTCTACTCTTCGCCATAATCCAGAGAGAATGACAACCTATGTTCACGAACACAACTTCGGCACAAAAACCCACAGAAGCATTATTTAAAATCACCCCAGAGTGGAAACAATGCAAGTGTCCATTAACTAAATAGTGAATAAATAAAAGATGATGTATGCAGGCAATGGAATATTATCCCACCATAAAAAGAAATGGAGTATTGAATTCTCATGCATGAACCTGGAGAACTTATGCTAAGAGAGAAGCCAAGTGCAAAAGGGCACCTATTGTAGGGTTTCATCCACATGAAATTTCCAGAATAGACAAATCCATGGAGAAAAGAAACAGAATTAGGAAGCCTGGGATAACTTTCTGAGGTTATGAAAATGTGCTGGAATCCAGTAGTGGAGACGGTGGCACGACACTGTGAATGTCCTAAAAGTCCCTGAACTTTAAGGTGGTTAAAATGGGGAATCGTATGTTGTATGAATTTGACCTCAAGGTCAAAAAGTACCTGACAAAATTGATTTTTAGCTTCTACCTAGAAATAACGCAATCTACAAACTTTGTTTTGACAGTTCCCCCCGTATCCTTGCAGAAGTCAAATATGCTCAAATGGGATGAAAATTCCTCATCGTGTTGAGGCAGCAACATTTATTCTCAGCCAGTGAAAAACTCAGGCACGAGGAAGACCTAGCTTAGTGAAGAACTGGAGAAGTGAATTTCAGGTGAGCATGCCTCAGCTTTGTGAATATGCTTTTAAAATTGGGGAGAAATAAGACATCAAGGGATTCTATTAGAAGCTCTTCCCATGTAGAAGCATCTTCTCAAACTTAAAGCCCCTTGAGAGTGGGGGTGGGGAATAGGGTAGAATAAGAATCCAAGCCGCCTCCTCCTTTTCCTCGCCCCTGCGTCTTCCAGAAATGGAGCTAAGCTTGGGTCATTAAGGCTCTTTGGGATGTTTGTAAATTTCACTCTTCCTTGGACTAAAATTATTTTACTTTTATTTGGATCAGTGAGTTTAGTGAGGTTTCTACTGGGGATGACATTCATTCCTGCTGGGTCCCCAAGAAGGCTGATTTGTAGTTCTGTGTCTTCTGGTCATACTGCAGGAGAAGACTGCATGATAAGATGGGGGGCCTTGACATTTTTAAGGGAGCCTGGCAATAATGTTAAATATTATAACCATACCCCCCCAAAAATAAAAAACAACAACCATATGTCCTGGTCACAGCAAAAATGCTTGATCACCATGCAATGAAAGAATTAATAAAAGGAATTTTTTTCAAAGTTACTCTCTCTGGCTTGTGCACGCCCACCTCCCTTTTCTTCTGTGTTTCACTTTGCAGGGCTGGGGAGGGGACCCAGGCCTCCGTGCAAGGCAAGTGCACTGTCCCTGAGCTACGGCCAGCCACCCTGTTCACTCTCATGAGGCTCTGTTCCCAAGCACCTCTCTGACTGTGGCCATGCCTCAGAAGCTCTCTAAGGGACAGGTGGGACCAGACACATGACTTGTGGGATCCTGAACAAATGAACTGCTCCTTGTTCAGACTTATTAAGAATTTCCAGAAGTATGTGATAGCGAAGCACAGACCCAGCAGCTACCACATGTCACATGTCCATGGTCTGGTGGAGAATCTATGACAGATCCTCCCAGCTCTGCCGCCTTCTTATGGGATCAGGGGTGAGTTACCTAGCCTTCCGGAGCCACCCTGCCATGGGGCTCATCATCACCCACATTCCTCACTTTGCTGCAAGGATTTTCCCAGGTCTTAAGCTTGCATCCCATTGTTTAGCCCAGTTCTCATTTGCCCGTGGAGAAGAGGGTGCCATGTACCTCGCGTGGGCAAGAATGGCAGCAAAGCCATTTGGTGAATTAAATGTGGGTCCTTCGCAGTGTAAGGAAGGGGGCTGAGCAGGGCGGCCCTTGCTCCCAGCAGCAACCCGTGCTCTTTGCTTTGCTCTGTGTTTTTATTAGCTCGTCTCAGTACATCAGTGGCAAGGGTGATGAAACCGGTGGCAGATTTAACTGCCAGGCAGCTGGGTCACCGTCCCGTGGGTCTTGTTGTCATGCTGCGGTCTTAAAGTGACCACGGCTGTTTGGACTGCTGCTTTCCAACAGGCTTGGAGACAGACCACTGAATAGTTAATGGGTAGGAGAGGAAGGCAGGGGCTGTTGCTTGCAGAAAGCACAGAGAAGCAGCTTTGAAAAATCCCAAGGTGGCTGAATATCAAGAACACGGTTCCTGCTGTGGGCAGCTGTGTGTGCAAGGGGCAGCCTGAGGGCTTAAAATCAAATCTCCAGCAACGGGTTGGTGCCTCTCCTCGTGGGGATTTGGCAATGGAGGCCGAAAACCTAAACACTACAAAACGAAGGACCCCTGCATACTAGCGGAGGAGAGTTATCATTTACAGTTACCTTTTGTATTGCTCACAGTATCAGTGAGTAATGGTTTTAGTGGGGGGGGGGGGGGGTAGGCAGGAGAGAGAAAACTGGATGACTTATTTAACAAGCGAGATCTTACCTGAAACCGTCTCATGTCCCTTGGGTTTCCTGCTGTTTTCAAACAATTCTGATTGCACTTGAGGAAAAATTTTAAAAAGAATCTGTGAAGAGAAAGCAATGTGTTACATTTTTCAGTAAACATTTTTTAAGGGAGACTCTATCTGCATTCTATTAGATTTGATTTGAAAAAGCGATTGTGTTTCAGGTCTGGGGAATTTCAACCAGTCCTGCCTAGAGAGGAACATGGCTGACCCTCTGCAATTTGCAAATTTGGATGTTTTCAATCCAAGCCCGGCACCCCCTTCTCCATTACTGTGGGGGATTGTTAAGTGCTTCCCAAGCTGGGCTCTGGTTTGTACAAGGGCTGGAGCTTCCACAGCACTCCTTGTGCAAAAAAAGGCTTCCAACGCAGCAGTGACCCCTGCTGTACAGAAAATCTTACTGGGGGAGGGGGTGGTAAAAATGGCAGGATGTGGCCCAGAATCCCAGGGTTCCTTATGCATTTGGCTCTCTGCTGGCACACACACCTACCAGCTCACCCTTGAAAGTGGCCTGATATTTTCAAACCGACGCATACAAAATCAGAAAATGACCTGGGAACAGCCAAAGATGAAGTTGGCTGGGCAGGTTTGCACTGGGGAGTTTATGGTTAATGACAAGTGGGACTGTCCTTTCAGACCATCGATGGATTCTCAGAAAAAAATACAAAGACATGGACTCACTGTCTGGGGTTATCATTTGTAAAACGTATTTTCGAAGCCAATATTATTTTAAATGATCTGCAAAATTTCAAAACTGGGTATCTCGGATCAGGCAACGACATCGACCAAGAAAAATGGCAAAAGTGTCCTCTGCAGCAATTCACCTGGCTCCTATTTGAAATTTTGTTTCAAAATACAGTAAGTTTTTTCATTTATTTCACTGGCAGAGTCCTTTTCCTTAAAAAAAAAAAAAAAATCCAGCTTTGCCGCACTCAAGTCCCAGGTGAGTGAGGCCTATTTCCCTTTCTGTTACTATGACAACGAAATTTTACCGCAGTCCCAAAGTCCCTCCAGAACTCTCACATCCATGCCTTGAATTAGAACTTTAAAGGAAACGATATACATTTTCCCTGGGATTTACCAACAAAAAATAAGTAGAAATCAACAATGCTTCCAAAAAATTCTATTTTCAAGCATCCATCAGTGAAACGCTCTCGTGGTGACCCTCTGCTTATTTTTATTGTTTTAACCATCACACAAAAGAATTAGAGAGCGCTCCAATTAACTGTATGTATCACTTGGAAAAGAAAGAAAGAAAACCCTGATGAGAAGATAAACAGTAAACAATGAAGGAAGGAGAAGGGGAATTGACTGTTTAGAGCCTGTTCTGAAGCTGAGGCTCTTTCACTCTTGTTTGCTAAAAACATTTGGCAACACACTCACTCCTGTCTGGATCTGGGAACAGGGCTGGGTGTCAATTGGGAAGTCACAGCTAACTATCTTTTCGTTATCTTCTAGCATCTGCTTTTCTCTTCTCCTTCGTTTAGAGGGTGTGTGGGAGGTCAGGCGTGGCTTCCCGTGCCGGAGGTGTCTGGGTCTGGATGCATCCAGAAGGATGAGGCAGAGCGGGTGCTTGGCGTGGCTTGCGCCCGCGTGTGTCAATTCACAACCTGCCACAGCTCGGGGAAGTGTGGGGAAAGGTCTGCCTGCAGTAGCCGGAGCGCTCAGCAAGGAGAGCCGCTTTGATGTAAGTAGAGATGGAGCAGAAATCAAACATGTTCTTTTTAGAAGGAGGAATATTTGCTATTTGGACACTCATCTCAGTCATTGCAGCCTCTTAACAACCTCGGAGATGTCCTGCCGACGTGCTGAAAACTGGCCATTTCTGACTGCAAGTCTTTCCAAACAATAGCCCCCAGTCCACATCTTATCTGCCCTCCCCTCAACACCCCCGACAGCTATTTTATATCTTTCTCTTACCTAAGCCAAACTGAGTGCTTGCTCACATTTACTCCTTGATTTTCGGAAAGCTCTGCTCGGGTTGGACTGCTTAGAATGCATTCTGTGTACCACACTTCCCGGCCTCCCCCCGTCCTGCCCTGAAACGTATCTGGCGAAAACATTAATGTTCACGAAGGCATTATGATGTGAATGGTGTGGTAGGTGGGAAAGTGCAAAAGAGATAAATGTTTACATAAAATCAAATTGATTTAGGGAAACACGGAGCCTGGTGAAAGGCTTTATTCATTTTAAATTAGGACCCTTAACAGTTATTTGGATGAAAAACACCCCGTTACTCTTTCACTTGTCTGGGGGCTGAGTCTGGAACCTACACAGACCCCTGTCCAGCAAAGACCTAGCATTTGGTTCACAAAGGGGGAAGGGTGGTGGAGGGGAGGAGAGAGAGAGAGACAAGAGACAGAGGGTCTGAGAGAGGGAGATTATATAATAACATAACCTACAATGACTACTTCCAAATGGCCAGGATCAGAGATTATGGTCTGGATTTTTTTTATAAGTAGATCTAAAAATTAATTAAAAGAAATTCTGGACTTACTGACACATCTGATTTTCTCCAGCCCTCTCCTCTCTCCTCTCCCAAGCACTGTGCTCAGGGTCGTGGTACCAAACCCTGTACTCTCCATACCATCTACTAGCCACAGGGTAACTTGCAAGGAACAAATGCTCTCAGAATCCCCTGGGTCTCAAGCTCTCCACAGCCAGGGTTGCCTGGAAAATATCAGCTCTCTCCACTCAGCAACGGAAAACCAAAATGAATTACAAGATTCAGACCAAATGTGCAGATTCTCACCGGGATGGGAGTTATTTCCACTTTCTCCAAACAATGGTGACAACATAAATACTACAACCACTTAGTATGCTACAGTTTGCAAGGCTTCTGATTTCATTCCTTCAGAGGGAGTCCTAACAGGGATCAGTTTATCCTTGTTTTATGGACCAGGAGGAATGACGAGATGGGGTCAAAATGTAAACTCAAACCCTCAGATTTCAATCAGGTCCCCAGGTCACTGAGGCAGTATCATATACCAAAAGGCATTCCTTCTCTCCACAAATATGTATTCAAGCTTGCTAGGCTTGACCCGCCACCAGCTAATGATGTAACCAAGTCACCTCCCATCTAGGGGCCTCAGTTTCATCAACTGTGAAAAGAAAGGTTTAACTGGATTAACTCTAGGGTTCCCCCAGCATCAATATTTCATGATTGCAAAGAAAAAGGGGCAGAATCGACAGCTCTCCAGAAAGGGGTATTTGGAGGAAGAACCCACTGAAGACAAAAAGACCAAGCTGGTAGGTATGTGGTGGGTAGCAGCAAAGGGGTCCTAAAACATAGGTCAAACCCATCAAGACTGTGAAAGGGGGTGGCTGGTTGGTGGAAAATATGGTATGGGGGTGATCTCTTGGCTGGGGCTGGCAGTACCCAGAGCTTGATGGCAGGTGGCTAGGCAAGATGCACAAGATGCTCAGGATCCTTTGCTGTGCTCTGAGGCAGGGGAAGGTCCTGGGGGAAGACTGCAGCTCTGCCCCTGCTCACCACCCCATGTGGTCTGCAGCTGGAGGCCAGGGGGTCACGGAGGACAGGAAAGATGACTTGCTGAACATCGAGTGCAGCCCCTTTATCCTCAGGGAATAATTCCGAGACCCCCATGGATGCCTGAAACCCCAGACGGAACCAAACCCATGTCCCTTCCTGTAGATACGCACCCAGGATAGCGAGGAATTTGTGAATGAGGCTCAGTGAGGGATTTACAACGATATCTATAGTAAAATAAAATGATTATAACAATGGGCTGTAAGAAAGGTATCTTAAATTTATGAACTGTTTATTTCTAGAATCTTCCATTGGGTATTTTCAGATCCCAGTTGACGATGGGTAACGGAAACCTTGAAAGGGAAGCCCTGGAGGAGGGACTCTGCGCTCACCTGATTCCCACAATAACCCTAGGAAGTGTGAGATGTCCTGCAGTGGGGACAACAAAGACCTCAGAATTTAGGGATCTGCAGTGATCACAGACCTCATCACCTGTGTCATCAGGTGGACCCAGGATTGGAACCTGGATCTTTCTGGCAACCACCTCCACCCGACTTTCTCTGTTCCCTGCTCCGATGGCAGGGATGGTTGCCAAGCTCTGAACATATTTAAAACCCTTGAATTGTACATTTGAACAGTGGGCTTTATGGTATGTAAGTTCTGGCCCAGAAAAGCCACTAAAAATTTCTTTTTCAAAAAGTGATTTTAAAAGGTGGGAGGGGAAGTGAAGGAAAACAAATTGGGGGTGCAGGGAAATGAAGGATTCTGGCTCTTTAGAGAATAAGATCATCAAAGAGGAAAACACCAGGTCAAAGATAGTCATGAAAGGGAACTTGCTTAATATTGAAAAGCGAATTCATTTATTTACTCATTTAATCAACACATATTAAGTGTGTTCTGCATGCCACAAGGGTTCAGGCACAAGGACAAGCTCAACGTTGTGGAACGCATGATCACACACACCGGTCAAAATGTGCTTCTGTGAGTCTGAGATGAATCTGGTGACCCTGGGTGTGGGTCTGAGTGAGATCCCAGCAGATCACGTAGTGCCCAAGAAATCTCTCCTGCTGTCCTCCAGATCTCTGCCATGACAGAGTGCTCTGCACTGTTCAAGAAACTCAGGTGGCTTAGGCTTGTCCTGCACCCATCTTACAGAGAAACTGAGTTTCAAACTAAACATACAGTTCAGGTGCAGAGTTAAGGTCCAGTGTTGGGGACACACAGACCTGGAAACCACAGGAAGCACAAACTACTTAATATTCTAGGAAGACTCTGGAACTGTGACCAATGGTGTGGCTATTACGAAACCCAGCACCCTATTGTTCAGGTTTATGGAAGAGACCATCCAACTTGCCTCCAACTTGAAGCCCACAATCTAATCCCTTCTTAAATTTTTTAATACAAAAATATCTTCAGGCAAGCACAGTGGAAGGCACCAAAAAGACCAGACAGGGATGTGTATGGAAGAAATGTGAACCAGGGAGCACTGGCCACAGCTAGCAGAACACAGAGGCTCACTCCATGTAAAATAATGTGTGACACCCTTCACTTTGAAACTTAGTTCCTTATT